CGGCCAATCATACTTCATATTGGTTACCCAAACCATCACAGAGATAGTAGTGCCAAAAGCTGGCCTTTAATCTTCTTAAAGTTTCTGTCAACGACAATTGGTCAAAATTATTTTGAAGGTTTTGGTGTTGATGGGAATCGAGCAACAATGTGTGACCTCAGATAATGCCCATTCCGCCCACAGAGGTGACTGCCTGACTTATGATCTCTGCTCCTCTTGTCTCATGCTTGCTCACCCTCAGGAATTTTCAATCCCCATGAGGAATATAGAAATTTTGATTTTTCCTATCACACACGTGCTCAAGAAGAATGATATTCAGCACAGAGTTTGGCACATTAACCATTGTGCGACCGCGTTGCCAATCGAGTCTTCTAGATGACGAGAAATAATGGCACCCGTGGGGTACAATAACTAGCGCACTGTTACAATCAGAATTTTCAGAAACGACAGCGTTAACGTCTTTCGTTTGTGTTGTGTACATATAGGCTTTGGTGGTACCAAGCGTCGCTAAATGTCCAGAGGACAGCATTACTGCTGAATGGGCACATTGCAAGGCACTGTCAACGCTAACAAAACGGCACTGGATAGATACAGTAGAGATTGTATGTCTTAGTGATACGACAAGGAAAATAATGTATATAAGAGGAAAAAAAATAACTTAATATTAGTAGTTAAGCTTCTGCTTTTTTCAGCTGCACGGATATCTAGATGTTAAGTAGTTTACTTAGCCTAAGGAAACCAAAATCTTAAGTACAGTGAAATCCCGTTAATCCGGTCACCAACGGGCCATAAACATTTGGCCTTATTAACGGGGTGGCCATATTAATATTAACGGGGTAAGGTCAAACCTCACGACTTATCCAAATTGAGTGACGTCTTAACAGATATATCACAATTGAACTTCCAAACAACTGTTCTTTGATAGACATCGGAATTAAAAAATTGAATCTTGTATCAATGTGTAGAATATTAACAATGGACTGTTGAACATAGCTGGTTTGAGTGGCCGTATATACGGGGTAAAATTATAATGGATTATACAGGTTGGGATTTCAGAATGCGGTAATAACGAGGTGACCGTAAGGCGGGGTTCCACTGTCGTTATATACTTTGATGAATCAGTTCTGCCACTCTTTATCAAGTGATGTTTTCAATATTGGTATCACACAGATGCCCAATCATTGTTAAACAAGTTGCAGTCATCTTCATAGCATAATAGGTTACCATAACAACGATACAACTTGTTAAACCACCCTTAATTTAAGCTTTAAGCCCATAAAATTCAATAACGGCGTGGTGAAACTCATTTTTATTATCAAATTGTGTTAAGGTACAGCTTTTTGCAAAGTGGAAAAATAGTCTGTAAGGGGGGTTCACTAAGCCACCTTAATTTTGGAAAATTTGACATATTTGTTGCTAACCACCATAGATTTTCTATTAGGACAACTCTTCTTAAATTCTCCTTTAATACAGCCGGTTGAGAGAGTCCTTATCAGGAACGCTCGATTTTATCTCATCCAATCTGTCCTTTTATCGAAAATATGAGAAGGCTCTAGAATCATTGCAAGTTGAACTCGTTGTGATATTTAAGGAATTTGGATAAGTTTTTTGCATGTTTTAGATAAAAAAAAGTAATCGTTTCCACGATAATGCAAAATATTTATTGTATGTTGTAAGTATTTGTTCCCTCATTTAGGGCGAAATAAGTTAGGGCTTCGCAAGTGTAATGTAAAAAAAAAAATGTAAGGTAATTTTTACTTACTCACGAAACACAGAAGAGCTCTCATGAACTCGTTATAAAGTGTTGGTACATCGACATAGCATTAGAATTTGGAGTGTTGGTTTGTGTGGAAGGTGGTAAACCAACAACAAATTCAACCTATCTATGAGGCTGGGTCAAGGATTCGAAGCCGAGGTACATTAGTGAGAGGCGAGCGCGCTTACTATTACACTACCTCTGCTTCCCCGAGGGAATAAGCCTTCCTCAGTTCCCGTAAAACGTTTTTAATGGCCCGCTCTTAGTTACTTTATATTACCAGTATATTACTAGATATTACTTACTATCTATCATATTACGATATTAACTGATTGTTAGAGTGAAGTGAATTTAATGGTAAAATGTGTATCAAATATGGGCCTTTTATGTTTTTTGTTTTTCGATTTGTTTTGATTTTTATTAATGATTAATTTGTTACCAGTTAGTGGGTTTCATATATATTAAAATTAAACGTCCCATGCACTGTTTTACCTAAATTATGTAAGTACCAAACGAAGATTTAAAACAAGCAAACGTCTTTGAAATAAATTGTCGATGCAATTTTAGATCACTTTAAGAACGTTTCAGTATTGTAACGATACTAATTGTAGGTCACGATCTTGTGTTTATTGCGTTACGTGTTTGTGGCACGCCTCGTAAGGTAATCACGCCATCACCAGTTTTCAATTAACAGGAGCTAGAGATAGGTTTCCCCTGATAGGTTACTCCCCCCTCACTGGTACCGTAATTGCCTTGTTCTTTTCTTTTGGGGGGGGGGNGTGGGGTAACTTTAAAGAATTATAGCTTTGATCTATTGCTAAAGCACTCATACAAGCAAAGCACAAACGTGAAGCTTTCAAAACAACGAGGTAACTACGAACACCACAAAGTGACACAAACGTAGCGGCTTGTGTAGAATTTTAATTTACCGATGTCCTCGTTACAATATATTGCAGGATACAAGATAAAGGCATCCAATTTCGTTTCTACTGAGATCTCTTTATACAACTTGAAGTATTTTTAATCCTGAGCTGTGACACTTATAAGCTCGAACGAGAGAAAAGTCAAATTTTTTGTGTAATATCTTATGATAGCATTCCCGTACGTTTCCACATGCAAAGGTAGCGGAAAAGAAACAGTTATTGAGTACAACAATTGTTTGTCAGCTTAGCTCACTCGACGATTTCACTTCTTTGGGGCTGCAAAGGAAAGAAAAAAAGGAATATAAAAATATACTCTATAATCATTTGACATTGTTCCATTTGAAAAAAATAAAATTGTGGTTGAATCTCTCAAACTTGGCAAGCAACATTTTTTCTGGAGCCTTAGTTATGTGGAACATTCTTGACGGTCGAATTCTTGAAATGTTGATGTGTCAACTCAGTTTCTCTATCTCTTTTAAGGGTGCCTCATCTAACATTGCCATAGCAACAGCAATTGGTTTTGCAGGTTAGGCCGAATTTGTTCTGTCAGCAATGCAGAATGTGTACCATTTGACATTTAGTTTTTCATTCTGGGTTAATTTTTTCATCAATTTAGTGATATATCAAACAAGGAGGCGTGTTAGACCATATTTCCAAACTCTGAGAAGAGAGTTGAAAACACAACGCGTAGCGGAGTATTTTTGACGAACTTCTCGGTGTTTGGTAATGTGGTCAAACACTGCCTTAAGTGTTTGATATATCTTATCAATCGAAACAAAAACTAAGGAAAAAACGGAGAAATAAAATCATAAAAATCTATCCTAATTGATATCAGATATACAAACACCGTCTCGGTTGTGATTTTCTTTGTTTAAACTTCATGAATTATTAATGACTTTGAGAAAGTCATTTCTTCTCTGAAAACATGCGAGCACAATGCAAGATGGTGGAAATAAGATGGCGGCCTTACTGCGCCTTTTAGTAACATAAGAACTCTAAAATTCAAAGCTCAACCGACAAAAATACATTTTTCGTTAGCGTCAATCAAATGTTCGCCGGCTCCTCCCAGGTTCTGACTACTGCCGAGCACTGTTTCCTTGTCTAAACTGTGCTCAACGACTTGATTACCGCGCGCTCGGCGGTAGTCGGAAGCTGGGAGGAGGCACCGAACATTTGATTGACGCCAGCGGAAAACGCATTTATCGGTCGAACTTTGAATTTTAGAGTCCGCATGTTACAGCGGAGGCAGCGTTTACTGCGGAGGCAGCGTGGCCAAGTGGTTAGGGCGCCGGACTTGAAATCCGGAGGTCGCGGGTTCAAGTCCCGCTCTGACCACTTAGATGGAGTTGTTTCTCGGTAGACCCTAGTTCAACTCCTCGGTCATGCTTGTAAATAGCCAACCGGTCTGCCTCCCGCCGGTTGGGAGTTTTAGGCCTATTACGTTTAGTTGATATATTTGTTTCTTTCATTTAAAGTGGCACGTCTGTGAACTAGCTAGGTGTAGCTAAGCGCATTGACCATTGTAAACAACAACATTGAAAGGCGCAGTAACGGCGTCATTTGACGTCTTTGACGTTATGAACAACAACTGAAAAAACCCATCTTGCAAAGCAAGCTGAGAACTATTCCAGGTGGATGTAAAATAATCTTGACAGTAAAATGTAATCCCAAGGGGGTTAGATCTACTGGCCCCAACCATGTCTCACGGTGAGGTAAGAGTTTGCTTGTACGTCTGAGGGTTACGGTGAAGTAATCATAACAAAAAATCAAAAAAGGTAAATCCTAAACACAACACCGGTCATTATTAAATTTGTTAAAAGACAATTCATAAATTTCCCCGAATTGGCCTTTTGATCCAACAAACTTTTCATGAGTTGCAAACTAAAAACCTATTAGTAACCTATTATTTCCTATTAGTAATGTGATATCCGGATGTACCTGCCACCAAAAGTTGCAGAGAGGATGAATGCAAACTAAAGAAATGCTGGTTATACCTGCAGGTTGTAGCCAGCCAGAGAAAAAAGCAATTAAGTGACCGTAAGTCATCTTCGTTGGCCCGGAGAATGGAAATATGCGACATGACTCATTATCAGACTTCGCGATTACAACAACTTAAATGAAATTATAATGATCTTCTCTTTCAAGTTTTTTCCCTAAATTAAGTAAGTTTCCTTCACCCTACCCAATTGTTCTTGCGCTCCAAATCAGAAATCAGTGAATTGTTACATACAGGAAAAGAAAATTTCCTTGTTTCAAAAACTTACTTTTTTTCCAAAATCAAATGCCACATTGTCACCAATCAGCATAAAAGGCGCCCACTGCCTGACGTCAGAATAGCCGTTACATCGCATCCATTTCATGGCCTCGTGAAGAGATTCGCTAGCGCTATCCTCACCGACAAGGTGCTCATAGAAACGACTCATGAACTGCTCTGTTGCACTGTCTTGTACACGCCACAATGCCACTAACACTGAGCGTGCACCAGATCCTAAAAATGCTCGAGCGATTCCAACAACTCCCTCTGCCTTAATCTGTCCACGAGCACTGTGGCAACAGCTCAGTACCACCAGTTTAGCACGCAGTCGAACTTTTGAAATGTCAGACATTGTCAATAAGTAGTCTTCTTCTTTTGGAATTTTGTTACGAGTTCCGACATTCGGTGCTAGCACAATTTCTCCTTCTTCTTCAAAACCATGTGCAGCGAAATGTATCAGACCCACTGAGTGTATGGCTTGAAGTACTGCTTGTTTAGTTGCTTGCTTTCCAAGCAACGGCTCAACACCCAGCTTACTTCCCACCATAATTGCTTCCTTTTCTGCATGAGGTAGTCGCAAAATGTTCTGAAGACGTCTCTTGTAACGCACTTTGCCTACATCTGGATTTCCTACTATCAGTGCACCAGTCTGACTGTGATAGTCTGCCGGGCTGTCTTGGATGAGCTTTAGAGTCGTCAGAGAAGGAACGATCCGGATCCTGAAAGTCTCCGATAAACACTTTCCAGTGTCATCAGGTAACGCAGCAAACGGAATGTTGTACAAAGAACGTTCAGGTACGATTATGATTTCAGGGCCATCTATTAAGTCAACTACAGGGGCGATGATCAATTTGTAACACAGAGAAAGAGTCGATTTGACCTCATCATTTTCTCTATCATTCTCAGTTCCAGTGCGTGAGATTACACGGCAATAGTTGTCATCAGGCTTGGGTTCTGTTTGAATGTTCTTCGACGGTTCGTCTTCCCCGGGTGAAATGCCAAAACCTCTAAAGCTTTCCATAGCAAAGAACTCCTCCAAATCTTCGTCATCCTTCAGCAATCCTTGGCCAACAAGAATTTCTCTTCCATTTATCTTTCGGAAATGCACGACTCTGCCTGCTTTGAGAATCCACAGGAAAATATCTTCACAAAAATAGAAGAAATATAGGCAAGTGCAGTTTCGTTCCCTGTCCATGACGCTTTCAATGGTAACCCTTGACTGATGGTTAGCTAGTATTTGATTCTCATCGAAATACCCGGCTGACATTAAATCTGCCAGTGCTCTTGCCCGCCATAGCTCAGAAACGTACAGAGCCTCTTCAAACTTTCCAGTACAACAAAGTAATGCACTGAGTTTATGGTATAGATAAATATTTTCGTGAAAGAAAGAGATCTTAAATTGATCGTTTTCGCCAAGAAAGCCTCGTAATTGTTCACATTTTTCAATGCTCAAAGCTAAATACGACAACGTTTCCTGAATGTTTCCTGCCGAAAACTTAAGATGCGCAAGATTGTCAAGGAAATGAAACTGCCCGGCAATGTCTCCAATCTCTTCGCTTATTGCAAGTCCTCTCTTATGATATTTTTCTGCCTCGGCATTATCACCACGAAAATGAAAAATAACTCCGAGATTTCCGTAATTTCTGGCCTGTCTCGCTCTATCACCAATTTCTTCACTGATCACAAGGGCTTTTTCTTGATATTCTCTTGCTTTCTCGTAATCACCAAGTTTCCGAAATACAATTCCAAGGTTTCCGTAAACAGCCGCTTCCAGTTTTCTCTCACCAGTTTCTTTATTGATGACAAGAGCATTCTCGTAATGTTCCGTCGCATCCTGATATTTCCCAAGTAATCGAAACACAGTTCCAAGGTTTACGTGAAGGATGGCTTCTCCATTTTTGTAACCAAATTGTTTTTGGACGGCAATTGCCTTCTCGTAATAGTCCTTTCCTTTCTGATGTTCTCCAACTGACACAAATACAGTTCCAAGCTTTCCGTAGGTTGCTTGTTCTCCTTCTCTATCACCAATTTCTTTTTGGATGGCAAGGGCCTTCTCGAAATATTGCTTCGCCTTGTAATATTCTCCAACTGAAAAAAAGACACCTCCGAGGTTTGCGTATAGAGTGCCTTCCTCTCCCTTATTACCAATTTCTTTAATGATGGAAAGAGCTACTTCATGATATTCTTTGGCTTTCTGATATTCTCCAACTGAATGAAACACAAGTCCAAGGTTTCCGTTAGAGGCGGCTTCTCCTTCTCTGTCACCAATTTCTCTGCTGATGGAGATTGCTTGCTGGTGATATTCCTTCGACTTCTGATTTTCTCCAACTGATTGAAACAGACTTCCAAGGTTTCTGCAACAGATGGCTTCTTCTGCTCTGTCACCAATTTCTTTACTAATGGCAAAAGCCTTTTCCTGATATTCTTTGGCTTTCTGATATTCTCCAACTGATTGAAACACAAGTCCAAGGTTTCTGTATTGAGCTCCTTCTCCTTTCCTATAACCAATTTCTTTACTGATGGCAAGTGCTTTCTCGTGATATTCTTTTCCCTTTTGAAATTCTCCAGCTGATTTACATACAGTTCCAAGTTTTCCGTAATATGTGGCTTCTCCTTTTTTATTACCAATTTCAGTGCTAAGGGAAATTGCTAACTCGTAGCATTCTTTTGCATTTTGATATTCTGCGATTGATTGAAACACATCTCCAAGGATTGAGTAGAGGACGGCTTCTGCTTTTCTATCACCAATTTCTTTACTGATCGCAATTGCTTTTTTGTAGCGTTCTTTCGCCTGCTGATATTCTCCAACTGATTGAAGAAAACTTCCCAGGATTCCATGAGAGATGCATTCTACATCTCTTGCACCAATTTCTTTACAGATGGCAAGTGCTTTTTCGAGATATTCTTTCGCCTTCTTATATTCTCTAACGGAATCAAACATAACGGTTGCAAGACCGTGGTAAGAGAAGGCTTCTCCTCTTTTATCACCAATTTCTTTACTGATGGAAAGTGCTTCTTCGAAATGTTCTTTCGCCTTCTGATGTTCGCTAACTGATCGAAGTACAGTTCCAAGTTTTCTGTAGAAGGAGGACTGAGCATTTCTGTCACCAATTTGCTTTGTCAAGGCAAGTCCTTTTTCGTAAGGTTGTTTCGCCTTGTCATATTCGCCCACTTCCTCATATATCTTTCCAAGGTCTGCATAACACGAAGATTCTCCATTTTTGTCTCCAATTTCTGTATTGATCAGTAGCGCTTTCTCTAAGAGTTCTTTTGCTTCAACGTATTTACTTTGATGGATATACAAAGCAGCTAGAAACATGCTCATCTTACATTTCTCAGCCATTTCGCCACATTCCTGCTGAATGTGTGAATATTTTATGGTGTATTGTATCCCATTAGTGATAAAATAAGCCCGAACCAATGTCAAATACATCATCTTGCTCAGTTCCTTATATAATTCGTTTTGTTTTATGAGTTCGGGTTTGCTGACGAGGGATAAACCTTCCTGGCATAACTTTATGGCTTTATGGGCTCGACAGGTGTTGATAAGGAAATTTGCAACCATCATAGCAATTAAAGCTGCTGTTAAGGTATGCGTTTCGAACATTTCTGTGAGAATATAAAGAAAATGAAAGATAAATTGATATCTGATAATTGATGCAATCTGATATCCTATAAGCGCCAGTGGAATAATTGGTTGATTAATAACGCCCCCAAAATATAGAAAACTGAAATATAATCAAATTAGTAGTAGTCAAAGATTATGAGAGTGCGTTCGACGCCGTCACTTTAATTAATATATTTATACCTTAAATGATTTCACTAGCTGACTTTCAACCTCTGTCTATTGCTAAAATCAACGTTTTTCATCGGCAAGCGAGGTTTTACCGACAGATATATCATAGTGTCAAAGTCCATTCAATTTTAAGAGGTCCCCTGTACAAACTACGATTTGTTGATACGTTGCGTGACAGCGCCAGTTTCCGTAGACTCACAAGTTTAATAACACCAAAATATTTCCATTTATAGCCTTCAAATTTCGTGCTAAATATTCTCACATTAACTGGTAATGTTTAAGCCTAAAAGCTAATTTGTAAAAGGATATTTTACATACATTATTCTAAGCTGGAAGTACAAACATAAGCAAACATTTGCAATCGTGTGCTCGTTTATCGTCATCGCAAACAAACTCCGTGCGACTGTTCGAGTATTTCCCCTGATGAATACACAGAATGCAAATATGGCGGACCACTCGGTCAGCGTCCGGGACGAGTCACATGAAAGCGAGGCTAGTCAGGCTTTGATGTTTCGTTTTGACAATGCTTCCCCAGAGACGTCTTGCTTCGTCGTCGATCTGGTCTGTTTTATTTAGCTGTGGCTACGAGCTGCTGTGTTTCTGAACGCCACGAGAAGGCATATAAATTTTCCACCGTCCGCCTCTTAAGCTTAGGGAAAATAGTGGATCAATGCAATTCGTTGAGACGAAGGAAAGGAGTTCGTTCACGATTGCCGCAGGAAATAAAGTTTGTTCGCTACATTTCACATTAGAAGATCTTAGAAAAATCGTTTAAATGACGAGCTTATGTGGTGTCTGGTGGTATTCCAACACGATTTACATGGCCAGTACCTTTCCCAAAGTAAAGAAAAGCTCCTCTTGAAAAACATCCTTCGTCCCAAAGGAAGAAGTTGACTTCGCGTCCACTCGCACGGAATCACACGAAACAAATACTACGATGTAATAACCAAGTGAATGAACTTCAACTGCCCCCATCGTATCCAGTAAATGCTTTGAGCCAAATGAGAACGACTTGGAGCTAAATGCGGTCGTTTACACATTTTCTTTGATCTTCCAGCCTGAACGAACAAACTTTAACAGTTCCTTTGGCGATCGTGAACTACTTACCTTCGTCTGTTTTCCCTGAGAGACGACCGCGGAAACGAAAAAAAAAAAAAACACTTTCTCTGCTGTGGAAGATTTCAATTCTTTCTGGTGGCATTCAGGAACACAACAACTTATAGGGAGGGCGAAACAAAAACACACCAGATCGACGACGAAGCAAGACTTTTCTGGGGAAGCATTGTCAAAACAAAACATCAAAGCCTGACTAGCCACGCTTGCATGAGACTCGTCCCGGGCGCCAACCGAGCGGTCCGCCATATTTGCATCCGGTGTATATAGTAGACAGTATTTACATAATTTGCCGTTCCTTGGTTCAGGCTCCCTCTTGGCTTATGGATCTTGGCTTCAGAGTACTTTTCCGCGATTCTAAACAATATTCAACCGACTGAGACTATATATCTATATATCTCTGTCGCGACTGGACCTAATCAACAAATGCAATCAAAATGTATAGCTGTTCCCACGGCGATTCAAAGTCGTGTTCGTTAAGATATAAAATAAACAAGGAAACTTCCCTCAGATTTCGATAAATGCTGCCGTCGAAGCGTTTAAATTTACCAAAATCCAACGCTGAGTAAACAAAATAGCGAAGCCTGCGGCGACTGAATGAAAAGAAGTCATAGAAAGATCCAGCGCAAAGACAAGCTCACATAGCCTGCTCACATGCTCACATGTTCGCCACATGTCTTGTCACATGTCTTAGTTACGGTACCAGTTTACTGGCCCTGACATGCCCCTGTAAAAATCAAGCGGGGTGGCCATTTTGGTGCACAGCGCAACCAACTCAAGAAAGCCACAGGTAAAA